GTGCCTAGGCCTTAGGGCCTACGATAGTGTTAATCCGGGCCTGCTTCCAGGCGTCAATCCGATTTTTCAAATCAAAGGTACAGAACTTATACTGAACGAGGTAATTTCTGACATGATATCAAATAAATTTGTATTATCAGTTGTGACTTGTAATTAATTAACAGTTCATATATGATAAAATTAAAATTAATTTAATTTGTAATACTTATTATTAAATGCCATAATACTAATTATTTGTTTCGAACAAATAATAAAAAAAATACTAAGCAAAAGTACCTGCCTAAGTATAATTTAGTAATAATTCTTAATCGCCTAAATTTACTTGGACCTTGGTTATAACTTATAAAATATACCTTAAATTATTATGAATCCTAAACAAAACGAAACTACTTTTGAAACAAATTTTGACACCATTAAAATTAATGCATGTTTTTTAGTGGTTTTTGGGAACTTGATTCTTTGATCAATCTCTAATAATTGTTGAGAGCGCTAAGTGTATTGTAATGAGAACAATTATTTTCAGAAGACAGATTTAGAACAAGATTTAAAAAATAATGTCCCAAATCAACATCTTAATTTTCAAAAAATCAAATATCAAATAATTCACTTTTTCCAAAATACAATAAAAGGTAATTTTGTGCTAGGTGGTTTAAAATATTTACCTGGCTTCATTAATGACAATGATAATATGTACACTTAAGATGTATTAATTATATTTACTTTATCTATTTCAAATTTAAAGGACCAACGGCAGCCAACTGAGCAGCCAATATGTCTGGAAAATTGAATGGTGCTAAAAGATTAATAAAATTGAAAATGTTAAATCAAAAAGTTGTTTTCACATTGTAGTAATCATTCATTGGATTTGGCATTACAAGAAGTTATTCAAAAAAATAGGTAGTGGTATGTGTGATAAATACACACAATATTTTCACTATGGTCAAAGATGTATCAAATGCTATTCACAAATCTACTAAAAGAAAAAAAATGTATGAAAATATTCTATTAGAATTAGGTAGTATACAACAGAACCTACTTCCATTTTGTCCAACTAGAATGTTTGTAAGGGTTAAAAGTTGAACAAGATTTTTAGATAACTATAGCAGAGTTTAAAAAAACATTAGATGAAATTCTTTGTGGGAGTGTGTGTGTATCAGATGATAGAAAATCAACACTAAGAGTATAATATGTCAAAAAATTTAAAAAATTTAAGACAATATTTTTTTTACTATCTCAAAACATATTTTTTGACCAGTAAAACAATTGGCAAAAGTGTTACAAAATCCTAAATTCTATGCATCTGATTTAATGAAAGCTGCAAATACATTAAAGAAAACACTTTCATCATTCAGAACTAATGAAGATTTTGAAATAGATTTTTAATACCGTGAATTTACATGCTGAAGTATATGAATTAGAACCACTTGACAACACCATAAGCATCCAAATACCACCAAATCGTCTACAATATACAAATAATAACCCTCCAACAAAATTATCATCAATTTGAAAATTGAATAAAGATATATTTGAAATAATTCACTATTTAACAAATTAAATTGATAGACATTAAACATTGTAATAAACAAGGTCTAAAAAACTTAGTTAAATTAGAAAACAAACTTATAGATAAAAACATAAAAACTTACCGAGAACTTACAAATTGTTTAAATAATATGAGTGATGATTTTGATATAAAAAAGCTTCATTCACAACTTATTATGTTACCATCTATAGTACATACTATCGTCAGTATTTCAGATCTTATCAACAATTTGGGAAATGAATATTTAAAAGTAAAAAATTCTTTGTTTTCTGAAATCACCGAAATTATTAAATTAATTTTAAAGATAACAGTATCTGCAGCGAAAGCTGAGCATTCTCTTAGTGCATTGAAAAGACTAAAAACATATTTAAGGTCCACAATGACCCATAAGAGAATAACTTACCTCATGATTTTGCATGTCCATGAGTCTATAACAGAAAAATGTGATTTGAAGTTAATCACTGAGGAATTTGTTTCAAGAACAACAGAAAGAATATCAACATTTGGAAATATTTAATATTTAATAATACCTAACCTTTACTGTAAGGTTGTTATATTTTATTATTTTAATATAGCTCCAGGTTGACCTAACTCATGGCTTTATAGCTTTAATTATTTTATTTTTGTTCTTAACTATTGAGAACTAATGTATTAAGTACCTACCTAATTTTATTTTTTGTTTTGCTTCAATATTGTACACTTAAGTTTTATCAATATTTTATTAATAATTCTTACGTCATTACTATCGTATGTACGTTGAAAAATATATTTAGTACGGGTTTCTAATTGTCTATTATCAAAAACAACCATTTTTATATACATAATATGTATGTCGGTATGTATACTTAGATCTGTATTTAGGCTTTCAATGTTTTTCCTCCCTTATGAAAAATTGTTCCTGTGCCACTAGGCATCCATCAATTGTTAAACAAACTACAGTAACCCCAGCATCCTTTAAAAGATTCAAGCGTGTTTAGTAAGCTCAACTTTTTGTGAACCATTTAAATTAGATACTAGGAAACACCCAATAGGTATTTTCCAATATTCATTAAAACTAGACATTCTTTAGCTTTTTCAAAATTATCATTATCTTTATTATTTCTTAGATCCATTTCACCGTAATAATTTGTTCCATCAAATTTCGCCCAGCATTAAACTGGATCAGTATAAAATTGTACTTTTAAAGCAATCATCAAGCACTCTTTAGTATATACATAGTATAGAGATTAGTTAGCTATGTTGTGACGGCTGAGCACACCAAGTTCATGATAAATGTAATTTTACATTGATACATGTTAAAGTTTAAGTGTTTAAGTATTTAAATTTTGAACTTAAAGAAGTGAATTTTAGTATATTTAACAGTTAATACAGGTAACAATATTTTATTAATTATTATTTATTATCATATTGTATTGCTAAGGTACTCGCAATAAAATGTAATGATGAAAAATGAAGATTAAAATAAAATTTTGGTTTCAGAACTTTCAACTTATGATGGGTATTTCAAAAAATTACCTTACTGTACCTAATTTGTCTTATATATTGTATTAAATGATTAATTTATTCAGTGTTTAGTATTTGAACAAATAATAAAATAGGACAAATTATATTCGCACAATGTTTTTATTTTATATATTATCTATTACAGGTAAATATAATTTGTATTTTGAATTTTCGACCAACAAAGTCTTATCACCAATAGTATATAATAGTAATCTTATAATTTAGTATACATTTTTAATTCAATTCAAGCAAATCATTTACTTCTTAATGAGAGCACCAATTAGGTACTTCTATGCAAAACTATAGATTAAAAATTAAAAATATAGACTTATAGGTAGTCATTTATATAATATCACTACACATCTATACTATGTTATAGTTTAAAACGCATAACACATAAGTAACATAATTAAAACTCATCACATAATAATATAATAATTATAATATTATAATTAACACAATAAAACTTAAAATAGAAAAAAGGAATGACAAAAATAATATGTTATTTAATAATTATAGGTAACACATATTCAACTGGTGTATGAAAATTGATGTGCTAGTGTTTAAAACATTATATAACAATGAGGTACTTTGCACATATTGTTTTCTTATACATAAATGTTGTACAGACTTTTGATTACATGGTATTAGTATAAAAATAATAACAATCTAAAGTAGAGGACCCCAAACTGTGGGTAGTGATTTTTTTTGTTAGTGGGTTGTGTTATAGTTTTTAATAATAAATTTATAGACATGTGTTTTTATTACTTTTTGATGATGTTTAAATTTAGTTGTCTCATTAATCATTATATGCAAATTTACTGCGACCATGTCAATACAACGCAATAAGATTAGTAGTGATTGAAAAGATAACAATTTATCGTTATAATAAATTTTTTGATAAAAATTTTAAAATAAAATGTACCGTTCTTCAATTCAAAATGATTCTTTTTTTAAAATGCATTATTTATTATTTGTAGGTAACAGCAAAAAAAGTCATTGATATTATTGTGGGCCTCTAAAATTTCAATAATTTAAATAGGTTGTACCATAACAATTTTGGAAAACTCGGATCTAAAATCTTGAAATATTAGACCAAATTATAATAATTTGTTTTAATTAATGAAAACTCAATTTTTATCATGTTCTTTGCATAAAAATGTTTTATATTAAAATGGTAAAAGTATTATGAAATAGATTTTTTGATTATGTTTTACAGCTGAAGTTTCTAACACGCGACTTATTTCAGAATAATTATTTATTTCTTTTCTTTTTTTAAATAACATTTTTCTTAAGCTTATAATAGAGGAGCAGAAAAGTACTGCAAATTGTATCATCGTGGTATTATTGTAGTATTAGTAATAATAAACAAATATCTAAATACATTTTCCAAAGTTACCACGATTAGAAAACTAGAAATAAAACTAGAAATATAATTTCAAATTAAAATGTAAGGAATTAAAAATAAAAATGTCTATAATTGAATTTTAACATACTGAGTTTATGTTAAAATAAAAAATGTTCACACAAGGAGTTGTTGATCAACAGTAATATAATATTTTATAATTGCTTTTATAATGTCATATATTTATATATATATTTTATATTATATTATAAAAACTTTAAATAAATAAATATTTTAGTCAATGATTAATGAGAAAATTGTATGCTCACTTATGTAAATAATCTAAAGAATAGTCAATTAAAGAAGCCCAAGTCAAGACGCTAGTTTGTTATCATACACCATACAATTATACTAGTATAAAATTAACAGGAATGGATAGCTTTGTAATAATATAATAGACAGATAAACATTTAAAAAATCCAGTTTGATGTATTTAAAATTAAAAAAAATAAATAAAATTTTAAAATAATTAGTCTTCTATGCTTAAAAAAATCATACTGTTTATATTTATAATTTATATATGCTACATGCATACAGTATTAAGTATTAATTTAATATAATTTGGTTTATGAGTATATTTGTTACACAAATATGATATTTATAAATCAGTATAAGTTGTGATTTATTTACTTAAGGATAACATATTGTTGAAAGATTAATTTCTTGCATATATAAAAATGAACTTAAAAAAGTTAAGGTTAATATTTAGTCTTCAGTATAGTTGTCATTATTGTGTAAAAGATTTTGTTTTTCCGGGCAAGGAGTTCTATAACAAAAAAAAAAAAATTTAGTTTAATAAAAGCTCACAATAATATAAATTAAAAATTTCAAGAGGAAAAAAATGGTTCATTACTTGTTTGATTCAAGTCGATTTCTTTGTTTAATACTCATATTTAATATTCCATTATTCATTGAATCAAATGTCCATAGAACAGCAGTCAGCAACAGAGCAGCTAAAATTATATAGGTTAATTAGAAATAATAAACAAAATTAAAAAATAACTGTTTTATTTACCCGTATTGGTAATACGGGAATCATAGCATTCTTGTTTAAAATAATCGTTTACATAACAAATTAAGTTTAATGGGTAAATTGTATGTAATCAAAATGTAATGGAAAAAACTTATTAGTAATATAAGTTCACGTTATTAACTTGAAATATAGGAATATTATTTAATTAAATTAATCTATTCTAGTATTAATCTTATTAATTTCTGTTTGAAAATATAAAATAAAAGATTTTAAATGTGTATAGAAATTTAAAACAATTATAAAGTAAATGTTTTAAAGTGTATAGTTATTTTCGATTTTTATAATTAACCACTAAGAACTTATGAATACGTTTAATATAATTGATAGCCCAAACGTATTAGAGAACATTTAAGATAAAAACAACACAACCTAATAATTTATTGTGTACAGACATACAGTTATGTAAACCCAAACTGGTTTATTAATACATAATTAGTAAAAATATATATTTTTTCACAGGGTTATTTCCTGTGATAAGTAAAAAAATATTTACCTGATAATAAAAGACAGAAAAATAATTCAACCATATAGTAACCTTCTGCATCAACTATTATACCGCTTAACAGAGCAACAACAGCAAGACCAAGATTTTCAACAGATTGTGCTCTATAAATCAAAAAAATAAAATAAGAAATCAAAACACTTGTATTTGTAATTATTGACTAAAATAATTTTTTTTTCTAAATAAAAACAGAATTACTTTTTTCTTGATAATATGGTTTATCAAGATTAAAATTGAAAAAATTGTTTGTTTTCCTTAATATTTTATTGTTTAACACAATATATAAGATTTTGCTTTGAGTTTAAAATTAAATTAACATTTGAATAAAAAATTTTAGTTGAGTTACAAACAAATTAAATTTATATCTAAATGTTATCAACAATTTATAATGATTTGGTAATATGTTTAATTTAAACATTTTTTTATTTCACAAATGTCCCCCTTATATTTCTTAAATAAACACTAAACAGACACAATAAGCGTCACAAACTAGCATAAGTATGTTATAATAAAAAAAACACTTGCATGCCATATGCTGTTCCCATTTGATGTTCAGGAATAACCATTGCAATCAGAGGCCACAATGCACTTGCCAACATTGAATAAGATAATCCCATTGTGAACTAAAAGTAATTTTAAATAAAATTAATTTAATGCATATTTTAGGTTTAAAATAAATGTTAAATTTTCATACCATGGCAATATACGGATTTACAAATGAAAATGCCAAGAACATGTGCGCAACCAAGGTACCAAGAATTGATACAAATACCCAAAATAGATTTCTACCAGTTTTATCAATGACTAAACCAAGTCCTGGTGCACATATAGATGATATGATGTAAATAATCCCATTAATCAAATTGGCTGAATCAGGTGAAAAGTTGTACTTTTTTTCAAAGAATACTCTAGAAAATAAACATAATAAGATATCTAATCATAACAATTATTAGATAGTTTAATGTTTTACTTAAAAAATAAACAAAATTTGTTTAGTTATACAATATTAAATCAAAACTGGAAGTTAAATCATTATAAGAAGTTATTCATTCAAAAGTACATGCAACGGAATTTTGTCAATATGGATTCAGATATAATTTTTAAAATGTAGCCATTTAAACTAAAACCAGAAGTGTGATTATTTAAAAATTAACCATAACATAAGCTCAATTATTTTGAATTACAGAAATAACATATTGAAATAAATAACTCAATATCAATGATTTAACTTTTTGTGAAGTAGTATTTTATTAATCATAATACTATTTCAAATAAATAAAATAATATAATCATCTTACTTTCCTAATGCAACAAATGGAAAAATTGATGTGTAGTAGAAGACAATAATGAATGTAACTAGCCAAAATACTTTTGGAAAGTATCGCACATCAGACATTTTTACAACTTCAGTAGCATCAGGTGTTTTTCGGTTAAGTAGTTTTTCGGCTCTTTTATCTTGCCAAGCAAGTAATAAGGCGCTTACCAATGATAAGACGCAGGTTAAGCTTGCTAATGAACAAAATAAAAATTAATAGATTTCTGTAAGGTTATGATTATTATCAAATACATACCAACTAACAAAACAATTGATAAACATTGATAGTTAGGGACATTTATTTGTTTTTTTACATATCTATATAATGGTTCCATAACTATGAAATTGACTGTTGAACCAACTCTGGCAAAACTTATTTGAAATCCAAACACCATATTAAGTTCTTTTCCTTTAAACCACAATACTGCATAGTTGTTTTGAGCAACAGCCAATGATTCTCCACCAATTCTGTGTTAATAAAACATATTTTAACATTAAAATTAATGTATGACTTGCATGAAATAATATATATAGGAGTATTACACTAATAAAAATCAGTTAGTTTAATATTCACACAAAATTTTATATCATTTAATTTTAAGGTAAATTATGCAAATTGGTGTCACTCCACAAAGAGCAAGTTAATTGTAAAAAAAACTTGTTTAATGTAAATTTTATTTAAAATTGAGCATGAAAAAATTTAGTTCATTATTGCAGAAATAATAGATTTGATATATTAATGGTGGTCACTAAATTATTAAGCTATATTTATAATTAAGCATAAAAATCTAAAAATCTATTTATTTTATACTTTTTAACTTTGTTTCATAGCATGTTTAAATATCTACACTATTTTAATTTATAAACAGAAAGCCCAAATTTAATTACAACATAATTTGTGCAATATAAAATTTAACTTTTTAATAGATGAATTTTTGAAATACACAATTTATTAATAATTATAGTTTATCCTTCTTCAGCAGATTTATTCGAACAATTCCAACGTTAAGTTATTTAATGTATTCAATTAGTTCTTTATTTAAAATACAAAGGTTTTTCAAATAATATTATCCAACTATCATAATATAATACTAAAATATAATCACCCAAATATTAGACGGCCAAGTATCATAATCCAGAGGGCATTCAAATATGCTCCAGCAGCAAATACTATTTGACCAAGAACAACCAACAATGCGTAGATGACCGTACCTAAACGTATTCCAAAAACACTAAAAACATTTATATTTAAGATTTAGTAATTATATTTAAATTAATATATCATGTCATAAATGTATGGGAATTAATAAGACAAAAATTTACCGAAGTAAGTTAAGCTTTATAATTTTAAATATGGTCTTGCAATTAGAATATAATACTCAAGACATATCTTAAAAGTTAATCAAATTCAATTTAACCTTCATGTATTCCATACAAAAGTTTTGATATAAAAAAAATATGTGTATGAATATAAAATGCACATATTATAAAAACATTAATGAAATATCAACAAGAATTGTTTATTATTTAAATTTATATACATTATAAATTTAAATGAAATGTACTATTAGCATACAGTACTTTTGTGTATAAATATATTTACACTATTTAAGTAAGTACTGGAAAATGAAAAATAAATTGTTTTTCTTTCTGTAAATTACTGACGTCACAATGATTCAAGTATCTTAAGAGGACGTTATACTCGCATGTGTTGTCTCCGTCTTACAAGAGTGTAACTTATCAAATTTTATGTTCAGCAGATCATGTTTATCTCAGTTAGCTTAAAAATTAGAGTGAATTTGACCGCTTATTAAAATTAAAGCTACGCTTATTACGGATGGATAGTGGGCTTTTTATTATATTTTAATTTTAAAGAGATTTATGAGTATTTAAAAATTGTAAATAGTTTGCACAACTTAAAATACTCATAACTCTCTTTAAAATTAAAATATAATAATAAGCTCATGAAAAGCTGCCTGTAATAAGCTCACCTTTAATTTTAATAAGAGGTCAATTCACTCTAATTTTTAACCTAACTGAGCTAAACGTGATCTGCTGAAGTTAAAATTTAGTATGTTACGCACTCGTGAGACGGAGACAACACATGCAGGTATAATGTCCTCTTAAGATAAATATTAGTTGCAAATGAATCAATATTAAACATATTACAAAATTATAAACTTCAAACCTGTCAATTAAAAATCCACCAATGAAACACATTACAACATTCGGCCAAGAATACCACGAATACAAATAGACAAATTGTGAGGTTGTTAAGTTCATGTCTTGAGTAAAATTATCTTGTAATGCTCCAGGATTATCAAAACAAAAATATGAACCTAAAATCATACATATTATTTTTAATATTTTTCATCCTTACTATGAATACAACTAAATAAATATTTACCGAATCCAATTAAACACATTAAAAATAATGCTATAAGTCGTTGAAAAATGTGACTTGGATGTGTCCATGTTACTTTACAGTCATCTTCGTGGTTGTGTGTTATTTCAGACGACGATGTTGGGTGACTTTCCTCCATTTTTAAATTGTTGAAATTAAGTAACTGAAAATTTTAAAATTAATTACTTTATTTAGATAAATTATATCAACTAATTAAATAATTAACATGTATTTATAAATTATAAGACTTTAAAAACCTATCATAGTTCTTATTCATATAGTCTCTGACAGATGCTCACATGTGTTATCTCTATCATACAAATATACAACATAATAAATTTGTAAAAAACTAAAATCTTGTGTTGTTAATCTAAATATTACAATAAATTGACAGTATTTCAAATTTAAAGATTTATAACAGTGTTATTTTGTTGGCTTTTTTATTTTATTTTATTTAAAAGCAAGTTATGAGCACTAGATATTTTTACTTTACCTACTTATAACTCAATTTAAAGTTAAAATATCAACAAAAAAAATACAACAAATAAATACAGATAGTATTATTACAGGGTTATTACCTTTATATTGAATGACCTATTAGTCAATATTTAATTTTTGTCTGTATACAACCCACTTTTTAAAAATGTATCTTAAGAAAATTGTTTTTCTTTGCTCAATCATAACTTACATTCTGCGCTTTAATTTTACCAAGAATTAAAAATAAACATGTATCAAAACAATTTGTATTGAGTGTTTTTAAATTAAGTATAGTTTTAATAAATCTTAATTTGTTTTAGTAAGATATAAAACAATAATACTTAATCAAGTACACAAATATTTTATTTTTTAGTAAAACAAATGCTCTGATGTTTATTGTTAATATAGGCATTTAAAAATTCGCAATTAGTTGTATAATGTTAAGTTGTTGATATTTATATGTTGTGTAATTAGTAGTAGTTTTCTTGTACCTATTTAGTACCGAATATGAGAAATGTAATTTTCAGAGATTTCTAGTAATATTAAATAATTTTTTTTATATCAGATACCTTAAAAAAAATTTAAACAGAATATTAAAAATAATAAAACCAATAAGGCCACAAATAAATAATATTGGTTTCTTTTTTTTCTATAATATTATTTTATATTAATTTATTCTCATTGTCATTTCACAGTAAAAAGCACAGAACATGAGACCTCCTCTGAACTGGCATTACGCTGTGTCCAACGTGACGCTGCGAAAAAGAAAACAGCTTGTATTTCGTCGCTAGCTTGGGCAACAAACATCATAGTCAGGATAGAATTCGCTCGCATTCTTCGCGTTCACGTTGAATACAGCATAAGGCTCCATCATCTGCGCCAGTTGTTGCACCACTGTACGTTAATATGTATGCAATACATATTATAATTAAACATACTTAATATATTATAAACTCAGTTATATATAATTCAGTGCACCAATATTATTAATATATATAATATAAATGTAATTATTATTAAGTTCTAATACCTATGACCTAATTTGGATAACATTTGTTATTTTAGTAATTTTTAAACAAAATTTAATGAAAATGTTTAATTTATTCTCAACTTACAAATATATATTAATTTTTTGTTAGTACTGCTTGTAATTATTTAACCATTTAGATAATTAATGTATATGGTCCATTATTAATTAATTTAATTATAAATGACGACTCAATTATAAAATATTAGAACAAAAACAACTGATATATTAAAAAATTATAAACGAGCGACCTCACACACTGTTAATGGTCATAAGTAATAAGTAATAACATTCAACACAAAATGAATCAACTAACCTTTTTCGTTGCAATCTGTACTTTAGACCGTCCAATTGGCCATAATATTATAAATTGGTTAAAAGAATGACGACGATTTTTCGGCCGTCTGTTGTGGGCAAAGAATGATCAAATGGTGTTATATCGTGTGCGGGTGGTGTACAGTGGAAAATAATGAACGTCCAATAATAATAATAATAATAATAATAATAATGTTCGTGCTACGTTACGCGACAACGGGGGAGTTTTAAACTAATAAATAAAAGGCCTTTGTTATACTATTCTCTATCAGTGGAATGTTTACAACACCATAGGGGACAAAAAGAAAATACAAGACACAGCCATATGTACAATAATATTATTATTATTATTCGACATGCACATTTCGTATCACAAAGGCATTATCAGTGAAGGTCTTCTTTGATAGCGTATGGCGGTCTGTGTAGCAGCTGTGGCATCGTCGTGAGTGTGCATTACCTATTTTAAGAGTGGTAGCTGAGAGGCAACTGGTGCCTAATTAGATTGTTAACTAAGTAGTGATCGTCCGTGAAGCGAAGTTCCGCCATTTTATCTGAGGCCAGATGTATTGAGGGGATAGGGGGCCGACAGTTATTTTAGCCAAAACAAACCAATATTTTGTCTATCACACTTACCGACCTAGTAGTATGATAATACTTTTTAGAACTGATTTGAATTTGTTATGATGTCTACTTGAGATCGGTCAGTCTACTTTTCCCAATTTCACTCCCCCCCCCCCCAACAACAGCTACAACAATAAATTTAGTTTGAATATTTTGAAACTTTTTTAATTTTCAAAAGTTGATTATTCGGAATTTAATTCAGAAATCTAATAATGTGGACTGACCAATCTCAAGCAGACATTATAACGAATTCGGATCAGTTTGCTAAAATATTATAGGATTCTTAGGTCGATCGTTAGGATGGACAAAAAGTGCATACAAATGATCATAAATTGTTTACCGTTCACTAGTGCAACGCCGAGTATATGACTTGTACATGCGCGTGCGGGAGCGATCTGCTATTTCTTTTACACACAGTCACACACGACACACGCTGATCATCACTTATTACGTACACATTTACAAGACCCGCGTATAAGCAATTTGAAAATTGCCTATTTCGAACTCCTTAAAAAACTGTCCATCGCCGATCCCTTTAACAATGATCACAGAAAATTTATTTCGTGGTATCATAGTACCATCCCAAAAGATGATCAAATATCATCAAAGAAGTCGTCCTACCGTCTCATGTTTGTTGGTAAAAACTGTTTTGCGCGTTTCAACTTTTCTCTCGTCGTATTTTTAAGAAAACTACCGACCTACGACCTACTGCACTAACCACACCGCATAAAGTAGATATGTATATTTGAGTGGCGCTTTTTTTTCCACATAAATGCAATTTAAGTCATTTATTTTTAAACGTTTGCTTTTTTGTTGTTTTTCTTTGAACGTCTTACCATGGTGTAGTATTATTACTCTACAATAGGTGACATTCCATGTATTATTTTATTTAGTAAAAAAATAAATTACTAATAATAATATAATATAATGACGAAGAAAATAATTTGCATGATTTTGAATTGTCGAACGAGCGCCGTCGCCGGAAAACGCACGGCAGTTCGCTTTGAATTTTTGCGATCTTCGTCTGCTGTACAACGGTTTCTTATGCTAGGTAACTTAGTAAATTGTACATTACTTAAAAACAATGTAAATAACTACCTTTTTGTGATTCAATTATTGACACAAATTATTTTATACATTTGGCAATAACTATTACATATAACATAAATATTTTACGTCTATACTTATTAATCTGTTATATACAACATAACAAAATACCTACCTGATAAAGTGGCATTTGAAAAAACTTCTTTACTATAGGTACATAATTTATTAAAATATTTTTTAAATTATATACTATGTATAGGAAAAGATAATGTAAATATTTAATGACAAAAGTGTCTACGGTCATTCGTTTTTAAATTACAACAAAATATAAAAATCGCTCTATTAGATTTCGATATTCGTTGATTTTTTTTTATTTTAAGGAGGAATAAACTACTTTATAGAAATGTGAAATATCAAATGTAATGGCTAAGACCCCGTCCGCGTCCTCGGCTAAAGTTTATTTTTTTTCATCGTCGTCGACGACGATCACTTGTGTTTGAATCAGTTCTTCTAAGCCCGTCCCTGACAAACGAGGTTTTTTTTTATTCATTATTTCGCTCTTTCCCGCTCCCACACTCGCCCTGTAAGAAACAATTCATCATTTATCTGTCTTTATTTCTTTCATGACTGTCAATGAACAGAGAAAAAAATTAAAATCTGAAGGGCCGAAACGTTAACATTGTCACCGTCGCACGACACATTCTGGTTTCACTCATTCTGTGTTGTGGTGGGGGGGCGTGGGGGAGTAGACCGACACTTTGCCATACGCCGCCATAATCTGTGATAAATGATAATTATGACGGACTGAAGCAGTTAATCAATGATAGGTGCATAGGCTTGATTAATCTATTTGGGGGCTACCAATAGCTTTTTTTCCCTAGTGGTACCTTTCGACGACGACGCCGCCGGAACTTCTTGCGAATTCCAAGCGAGCTATAGCCCCCTTAGGCCCCACCATTCTACACCTATGGATAGGTGGAGGTAGATATCGGCGGCGGTGGTAGCGTCGTGACGTCACAGCGGAGATACAACAACGTACAATGTACTGTTGTCACTTACCATTACGTCTACGAGTGGTACAAGTGTACAAGTGTACAAGTGACGTTCGGTACTAGTAACTCACAACCTATGACGCTAACCTCAAAACACACCGTCTTTGTTGTATTACTCTTGTGCGCGTTTCGTCATTCTGTGTTTTTCGTCGGTCCTGCATATTTGCCTTCTGCACGCTTCGTCGGTAAACATCAGATTTTTATTAACGCAGCAGTTTTTTTTTCTCTACCGTTTTACTGGTTCGCCACTTGACCTAGTCACACGGCATTCCTAAAATTTTTACGTTTCACTCGTTGTTCAACCCACAACGAACGACTGAAAACCTAGCGGCCACCCGCTTCTCACACGACTCAAGTATTTAGCTTACGGTACGTCGATCACCACTACGCTTCTGTCGTTGTTGATGATTTCCCCGTCTCATCCGATCAATTGATCGACACTCGTCTAGAACACCCCACCAACGGTAAGTTGTTTCTTAGGTCCATTTCATTACGACAGTTGTCAGTATACCCTTCTGTCACATTAAGCACGATGGGTACCAAATACGTCGTGCCGCTTTAATACTTATGATTATCTGCTGCGCGGTGTTTGTTCTCGCGCGTTCGCGTTAAGTTATCTGCGATATGTCGGACACTTGTTGGGTATCCGTCCTGAAATCAAAAGTTAATGGATAAACAGTGCACTGTGCGTCCTGTCCATAAAATCGATTGTTTGTTGATATTGATTTTGTGTATTGGAGGCCTAGTAACTGTTCATGGCTTGTAAAGGTGATCTAACAACTCAAGTCGCTTTTGACATTACACTTAGGCTAGGATTAGTGCTCAACCGACGGTCAACCTAACCTAACCGACGGTCGGCGCTGACGGACGAGCTCAACCAACGGTCCTCGTCAGCGCAACGCAGTTGTACGCGCGCATCAACTTTTCAGCGCTGCACTGTAGTTGTTAATGTGCATCCTTTGATAAATCTACGCTTGACTAAAGTCAGCGCTGACCGTCGGTCGAGTACTAATTCTAGCCTTATACATGTGTATTACACCCTCTACCAGTTTGAAAGTAATAGTGTTATGCAAGTTACAATTAACAGAGTTAAATAGTGTTAGTTATCAATTCCATAATAATCGTCTAACAAAATTTGATATCGCTCACTCCACCTGTGATCCAAGTTGTAAAATCTTAGTTTTTATTTTAGAGATACGCTCGATTGGCATATCTTTATCATTATAAAATGAGGTACTTGTCGGTTTACTCCTCGCCAGTGCACCGTATAAAAATTTATCTCCCCACCACTCTTGTTTGTATAAGTGTACCGTTATTGTTCCTATAATTATCGACTTAAGCTCGTGATAGATGATCTATTTTTAACAAATATTTTTGGAAGTACTACATTTTGTACTATAAATAGGTAAAGTTATATACATTAGTATGGTGCTGGCTTTCATTATTACATTACCTACTTCGTTCAAACCAATAGGAAAAATTTAATTTAGTACGATACAAAGTATTTTAGTGAATTACTTACAGTTGTTTTCAAAATGTCAACAATGATTCTGGAATCAATATTTTGTTAAAATACATCAAATTGTAATGTTACTTAAGTAAGGGTCTGTTACTTGTTCTTTTTTAAATATTGTTGATGGAAATGCATTACTTTAATAGAATGTTTTACAACTGTACATCAGCTTCAACCCATACAGTCAAATTATTTTAATTTTAATTCTAACGTACAGTAAATATTATTGATTTCAACAGAATTTAAAGATTTTTCACTTTTACCGATAATATGATATATATAAATTATACCTAACTAAAAATATCAATACAAAGTATTAAATAATTAAAAAATAATTAAGTAATTCACACATAAACTTTATTTTTTACAAAAATAATTATAAATATATATTATAAATTGTATAGTGTTATGTATTTTAAGCAGTTATTTTTTTATTTTAATTGTGTTATTTTCTGTTTTTTACATTTCAGATTCTGCTTGGTTTTCTAATGAACTTTGCTAGAGTCTTTGTATTATGCAGATTTCCGTTCAATGTTACAAACTTCCTGTGTACTTTTATCTATTGAAATGCATCATTAGTGAGGTTGATGTATTTATTCCTAAAATAATATTAAACTGCATTTGAATCAATTTTTTATGAAAGTGGTTAAAACCAAAATCTTGGAAAAAATTAAAAAAATCCACACAAAAACTTACCATTAAATTAAAACTGTAACCAAATATTTGTATTTCCTGTATTTCATAACACAGCCTATACATATTAACTCCTTTCAAAAGTGAACAATCGGCTCAACCCTCAGAGCATATTTTGACGTCATTTACTGAAAAAAAAATTCACTAATTAACATTTATTAATAATTCATATATTGTATTAACTACTTAAATTAAATGACTTATCAATTAGACTTTTATTCATTTTTTTTTAAATTTCGATCAGTTCATTCCTGAATATTTTTACTAACCAATACCATAACTGACGTTCATATGAGTTAACCAACAGAAATACATTTTGATAAAATTAAGCGTAATGATAAAATAAATTCCTATAAGTTATAAAATATAATATATATTAATGTATAAAAAGGTTTTCCTAAAAACCAATATCAGCTAATGCTATGTATAACTTCACTATTAAACAAAACTAAAAGTTAATACAATTTACAAATTTACGAAAAACAATACAATATATACACTCCCAAATATTAAACTTAAATTAAAGTCGGTAACTCAAATAAATTTTTCAAAATGTCGACCTCATGTGCTATGTTTGGGTGTGTGAACAAATCTGCTGATAAGTCATGGTCATTTTTTCGATTTCTGAAAGTGAAATCTTATGTTTGTTCTAATTTAAAAGCTAAAATGTTATCTCAGTGTATGGCATAGCTTAATTCATTTTAAAACTGATAAATACCAACAGTTTATTAACTTCTAGTTTTGAACACATTATTAAAAGTTTGATTTACTGGCCAGAAAGAGCCATAGAGGCTTTACAATCATTTTTTGCTGCCTTTGGAAATTCAGTTACTGTTATTATTGACTGTTTTGAAATATGTGTTGAGGAACCATCCAATTTAAAAACAAAATCTCAACAAACATGGTCATCTTATAAAAATAAAAATACAGTAAAATATGTATTTAGTAACTCAAGGAGTTATTTCATTTATATAAGATTTTGGTGGAAGAGTGAGTGAGAAACATATTACTGAAAATGACAACTTTTTAAATAATTTATTACCGGGTGATGAAGTTTTAGCCGATCAAGGTTTTACTATTAGTGAAAGTATTGGATTTCATTGTGCAACTTTGAAAACCCCTGCTTTTACAAAAGGTTTACCTAAATTACACCCATGCTCCATAGAAGAAACTAGAAAAATAGCATCAGTAAGAATCCATTTTTTTACCTAACCACTGAATTGTTGAATGCGTAATGACAAATATCCAGATAACCAAAAACTGTAGATCAACCCAACTACCAAACAACCGGGATTTGACCTCGAAAGAAATACTTGGGTAACACTAAACCGTAATAGAACTGGTCATGGTAGAAGCGGTCATATGATATATAAATGGGGACTATGTGACAATGAAACGTATGACTGTGGCTATGAATCCCAGACGATCAATCATAATCACCACTGAATGTCCAATCCGTGCATTTAAAGGCACCACAGTAGAAAACCACCTGGTGAAAGAAGAAGCGGTGGAATGGATGAAGAACCTGGATGTGAAGCTATAGCATGACAGTTACATTTACCAAATGGGGAACCTCTTATCTATTTAATGTTTTATGTGTTTATTTATTTTTGAGTTTTATCACTGTTGATCATAGACGCCATACGAAATAATAATATTGACAACCGTACAGAAAACTTAATTCATTGCTATTAATTTATAACATGCTTGTAATGATTTTACCTACTTCTCAAGTTTTAATGCAGCAGCATTGCAATTTACAAAATATACATTTTATTTATTTGTGATTTTTTTTAAACGTGTATTTGACATTGTTAGTTAACATAAACATGTTCAGTTTGTGGACATGAAGAACAATGGACACGAAGAACAATTAAAAAAATCCTACCCATAACGTACACGATTTCCATCATTTGATTTATAAACTTACAAAGCTATACTAGTTAATTTAAATATGTGCTAACTTAATGTGACTACTTTCAACAAAATTTATACAACTGGATTTTTTGCTATTATGTGTGATGAAGCTAGGTGAGTATTAAGTAAAAATGTTAAATATTATTAAATGTCAATATAATTTTTATTTAGGATCCACAAAGTTCAACTTTCAATATGTGTTGATTATGCAGTTTAATTGGAAGTGTATAAGAGATTTCTAGGCTTTGTGGGTGTATCAAAAGGCCAAAATGCAAAATTATTGTTGAATCACTTAAAGATGAAGTTGAAGATCTGGCAGACAAAAGTGTTGCTTAAGTAATAGCTTAATATTTTTAATTTTATAAGAACTAACAATATTTTCTAATAAGCTGACAATGACATGCTAAACAGTTATTTTTAGGGCAGAGGACTTGCAGCTCTAAAAACTCACCAAATATGCACTAAAATATACAAAATTTGATTATTTTTGTATTAATATAGAGTATTTAAATTTTGATGTTTGCACTGACGTTCCTGTGACCAGTATTGATAATATCTTATACAGTAAACAATATCTGTACATAATTAAAATTCATAACCGGAAAATAAATCTAATCGGCAATCCTCAAGGCGTGTCCTAGGGAAAAAAGTGCGTGTGGGATCAGTCAACAAACCATATTGATTTGATTCATATTTAAAATAATTTTAAATTCAACATTATTTTAGTTATATATTAATTATTAAAATTAAATAAAAACGTTAACGGTAACATTTTTGATAAAATGATAAATTATTGAAAAATATATGCATCTTAACTTATAAAATCGAAATAAAAAATTTGAAATATACATTTATATGCAAAATAAAATTTCAAAACTAGCTTTGTTTCAGCATGAAACGTATTTGTTTCTTACTTTGATATTTTTGTAAACGTGCAAAACAACTATACAAATGCTACGAGTCCTCTGCCCTAGTTATTATTAATTTTCAGGAATTTTAAGTTCAATAACGAAAAAAAACATTCTTATAATTTTCATCCCTTACAATGTACTTTGCATCATTAATATTTTGAGCAATTAGCTTCAAAATAAAAAAAGCTGCATTGGGAAATTCAGGAAATATAATGAAAGGTGTTATTGATTCACTTACACATCTACATTCTGGCAAAGCTTTTGATATATTTCGACAAAAGCTTCAACATTTTGTAAATAAAAATAATATAATATTGTCACTACCCACAAACGAAGGTTAGCTCTGTTTTAAATATTTAGATTATATATTATTGCTTCATTTAATAATACTGTATATTATTTATAAAATAAAATATACGTTTAACATGCGCCTAAGCTTGTATAATAATATATTGTTGAAAAATATTTATGTATTTATTTGATTATAGAATCAAAAGAAAAACGCGAACGGTGTGAACCAGTGAACAAGACATAGTCTGAAAATAATACTTCAAATACTATTGAATATTGGCATACATTTGTTTATTTAAGAATCATTGATGAAGTACTTATAAATTTTGAAAAATTCAACTACAAAACCCATTAAAATAACTTCAGGATGCCCATAAGATGGATTTTTATCAGCAGTCTTATTTGTTTATATTTAAATGATTTCACACCTAAAAAAATTGTAACGTAGAATTAAATGCCGTCAATACAAAATTAATAAAATACATACACAATCTTAAAGATTTTCATACCCTATACACAACATTACTCTTCTCTCTAATTGGTACAAAATGTATAATATGGAATTAAATCCTACGAAGTGCAAAAAGTTAACATTATTTTCATTTCAACTATCATATTAATAGCACTTCAATTACACTAACACAATAATCAATAAAAGATCTAGGAGTCATTCTATATTTTTAAGAACACAAGTTATATCAATCACAATCACAAACAAATGCTAGAGCCTTATATACTTTAGTATGTTCAAATCTAGAAAAAGTACAAGACCAATTCTATAGTTATATGAAGTTTACACAGATTGAGATTACAGATACAGATTGATTGATCACACTCGAATAACTACCCTAACATCTTTAAAAAAAAACAGAAGAACCGTGATTGTTATCCAGTATTTTTTTACAAAGTCTTCCATGGATTAGTGGATACCCCTACCATTTTAGAACGATTCAAGTTCTGTGCATCCACAAGACTTCAACAGCTCTCATACTTCAAAAACCAATATAACACAATGATCTATCAATAATCAAAATGCAGACAAAATAAATAACAGAAATCGACATCTTTCCACTTCATTTTAAACCAATTCAACAATAAAATCCAACAATTTTGTTGTAATGGTATATCTCAACTACACTTATCTATCAAGAATAATTTATTTGTATTAGTATTTAATTATTATTTAAATCTGTAATTTTTCTAATTAAGAATAGTTCTAAGTATACTATAATTAAATGTACAGTTAATTTTTCTTATTTTGAATACCACATGCATTACAATTATATTTACCAAAAGGGTGTTTACCCGTTAATGAAATATATAAATAAATAGTAAAAACTATTGGGTCAATGAGGTTGCCGACCATAATATCTGGTCTGCAAAAGAAAAGTCCCTACACTAGGTTAAACAGTTAAGCAAACAATGTATTCAATTAACATATAGAAAAATTCAAAAATATTGCAGCAGGATTGATGGTTTAGCTTACTTATCACTGAATTAAATGGCAAATCTAAAAGAAAAATGTCACCATATTATGTAGAATTTTTTTAAACTTATTTCAATTTTTAATTAAAAACCTATTAGGCAAGATTCTGCTTTGTGGTTAAATGAATGTTCATACATTAACTTTCATAGGGAGCCACCAATGAATAATTTGAAAAATACTGGACATAAGCATTAAACTATTAGGGACCAAAAAAATTTAATTGAACATTTTTGCAGGAATGAGTAGAAGAAAAAAACTAGGGCAAATTTCGTACCTTAAAAAAACATCAACAAAATGTATGTATATAAGTACAAAAGGCAAAATCGGGGTGTTAGATTTTTAACATCTGTAAGCCCTAACTAAAAATAGGATGTTGATGACTCGCATTTTTTCTTTAGTTCTAGAAAATGCTATTTTTAATCTATTTGTTTTCATGGTTCCTTGATTCAAAATATAACAAATTTATTTTGAATTTTTAGCTCTTAATTTATAGCTAAAAATGCACTATTTTGTTTTTTAAAGATCATATATTTTCTATTACTACAATTTATCATACAATAGGACATATTTTGTAGTTTTATTACAATGTAGGGCATCTTTCTCAAGTTTAAGGTTTTTGTTTATATTTTTTTAAATTTAAATTTTACTTTTAAATTGTTTTTATATTAAATTACTTTGACCACTCATATCTCTAATTACAATAATTATTTTTAAATTACATTTTATGTCGTTTTTATGGCTTATTTGCATATTTGTGTGATCTTCTCATTGGTTAATTGTTAAATAAATAGAGGTGCAAGAAAGAATGTAAAAAGGCTGTTCTGAAATTTTGATACGGTATTCTAAAGCAAATTAGACTTAAGAGGTCAAGAGAATTTAATTTTCCTAAAAATAATCCATTTTTAACTTAAGAGTATTTCTTCGTCCAGCAAAGCTATTAAGAAATTTGGAAATACGAGGTGTAGTTGTGGGGAGGATGGTGTATATCCATCAAACCTAAGAACATTTCTTTGTACCATTTTCAAGCTGATGAGAGTTATACCTGATGTATGTGGATCCCAAAGAAGAGCATTGTACTCTAATATTAAGTGACATGTTGTAAAGCTTACAAGATTGCTAGCGTTCATAAAACGATTAGCACATGACTTAAACAAACTTGGTCCATCTTTAGAAATTGTGTTTTGCTCGCTTGTCTGTTCAATTTCATAGGACCACATAATTTCTGTTTTCAAGTGAATGACCTAGTATGCACTTATCGAAGTTCCAAGTTAACATTCTAATGTTTAAGACCATTTAGAAATAATGTTTAGGTGTGTCTATGTTTAGGTTTTGAAGTCATCAAAAGAATCGATTTGCATAAATAGTTTCAAGTCATCTGTGAAACAAAGTAGTTACTAGTTTGCAATGATTTAAAACTTTGCTAGCACAACTTACAAATGACGAAAGAGGAGTGGTATAATTATAATATAATTTTAATTTTATTTATTGTAAAAAGTGTTTGGTCAAAATCTAATTTGTTTGTTGAATAATATAATTTGACGCTTGTGACTTATACCCCAAAATATTTATAATTTTTGTTTTTCTCTGAAGTATCCTTTTTTGTTATTATTTAATTAAATACAATATTATTATTACTTCATAATTAACTAACAATAATTATTTTAATGCATGGTTAAAAACTAAAAAAAGTGAGAGGTTATAATTGTTTTATATAGACAAGGACCATACACAGTTATTTAATTGATACATAATATGTGACATGTCCCTACAATTTTTAAACTACATAATTTTGCATTTTATTTATGATTATATTTACTTATATATATTGGCATACATTTTATTTTAAAATATTATAGTTAGTCGAAAACATTTCTGTTGAATAATGACTTATCGACGTTCTACTGTGCTTTACTTAAATAAGCCCATACACTAGGACAAACAACGTACGTAGAATAAATAAACACATATTTGAGTTTTTTTAAGAATGAATATTATATTATCTACTACAAATTATATAATGTTAAACATCATAAAGTATGAATAAAATCTTATTGTTTTATTTAAAGAATGTTTTTTTCATTAAGCCTCCGTTCTTTTTTTTTATACTGAACATTATATTAGGTATTTTTTTATATGCAATATTAGCTATATTTAAATAATATTATATTATGAAACAAATTTCAACCAAGATCAAAAATTGTGTCTATCTGTTAGAGGGCTTGCAATGATTTAAGCATAATCAAATTTTTTTATTTATTTAAGCTTCGGCAACTGAGGCCATTAGCTGTAGAGGTTACGGTACTGTTGGGTTATGGGAACACGTGTGTGTTTGTGTGGCAGAATTTCTAGTGGGCACCCGTAGGTTTCTGCCATGTAGGGGGGGGGGAAGGGACACCATGACTGCCCGGAGAGAAGTGCCGCCCGAGGTTCGACGACGCGCATTGCAACCGACACGTTATCTACTCAGCCACTTTGGCCCCATAATCAAATTTAGTTTTACTTATAATACAGTAACCATATAATGTTGTACATATAAATCTTGATTTTGGTGTGCATCTACTCAAAATATAGAATGAATGAAATTAGTCAAATTGGAAAATACAAAATTTCAAAGTACCGCAATATTGTGCATTTTTATTTGGCTAAATTACTAAAAATAAGTCAATTTTGAGTTCATTTATTTCCATATAATATAACTAAAAATTTCTGTACTAGAATACTATATAATATTATGCTATATTTGTTTAAATTTCTTGTGTAGTTTAAAAATGTGAAAAATATGGAGAAAGTTATAATTATTTTGTGGGCCTATAATAGACAAGTGCTTTAAGGCTGAATTTATGTGATGAAAACTATTTTGTACTCATTTTTTTTAAAAGTACATCATGGGTCGCCGACGTTTTTCAACAAGCTACATTAAAACATATCTGGTGGTCAACTACTATTCTATTGACTATATGGACTTGATTCTATTCTAACTACTATATTATTTATATTAATACATGCAGCATAATAATATTCTTCTTTTAATATTTCTCTGGCAATAAATACTTTCTCTATGAAGTATAAAAGTGTGTTAAAGATTAGAGTGAATTAACCTCTTATAACATTTAATGGTAAGGTTTATTAACTAGTGCATCCCAAATGCTTTAAATATATGCATTTTAATTTTAAAGAAAGTTATAGGTATTTTTAAATTTTAAAATACTCATCTCCCTTTAAAATTAAAATATAATAAAGAGCTTATGAGATGGCCTAGATAATAATCTTACCTTTAAATGTTATAAGAGGTCAAATCACTATAATGTTTACAGATGTTTTAAGAGATCAAAACTTAATCTGCTGAGAGTACAATTTGCTATGTTACGCACTTGTAAGATGGCGACAACACTTGCAGATGCTGCCACATTCTTTTAATCTTTAAAGCCCGTTGATTAATTTTTTTCAATTAAAATTGCATAAATATGCACTATTGCATTACCTTAAATATCACGAAATATAAGACAAAAAAAAACATGATAAAATTGGCATAGTATAACAGAGTTAGGTACAAGTTAAGAAGTGACAAAGAATAACCACAACACGTTCAACTAGTAGCACAACTAATCACTGCAATAAATGACAAAAAATAGGTATAGTTATGATCAGCAGATAGTAAGTTTCAAATTAAAACCAAATATGAAATAATAAAAAATGATGCCCTCATTAGGTCAGTCTATTTACTTTTAAAATTTGACCATTTTTTTTAATTAAAAAAAAGCACACATCAAAAGTCCAGAAATATCACTAAAATCTAAAAATACGCAAAATTAAATTTCTTATTCCAGTTCCATTTATTGTAAAAAATATAACAATGTTCTTCATTTTAATATAACACGCTCCTTAAATGGTGAAAAAAATCTTAAGAATTTTAAAAGGTTTTAATTATTTTTTAGGCTTACAGACAGTCTTCTAAAGTACTATTTTGAAAGTATCTGTATTTAAAACCAAATACTATTCTGAATACCTTTTCATCTTACTCTATGTACGGGGACAAGCAAATTTAAATAAAATAATGCATTTTAAATTTTTATGTTTCATCGTTGAGTACTAAACTATTAATAAACCGTAATATTTTTAGAAGCCTAAGTACTAGTGTCATATTATTATGATTATCAGCAATGGACTAAATATGTCTAATACTGACTAATGATTGGAGGCTGTGTGTGTTCAGCGCGGCATTCTACATTCTATATTCTGTTAGTGAGTTTATTTTGGAATTTGAATTTTACCGTTACTTAAAAAAAAAATTTTTTTAACATTGCTGTCCAAGTTTTAGCATTTGATGGTGCATTGCACCAAATACCAAAAATGCTGCATATAATTCTTTTTATTTTAATTAATTTAAGTAAAACTAGAAAATGCTAAAATCAGTTAACTAATGATTAAATTTATATACAAGGGCATTAGGTCAAATTAAAAAGGTGTTACACATTTATGTATAAAAAAAAGTATTTGAAAGTATCTTTTACAAGACTGCTTACAGATAATTACATAATATGATATCACTATTATGGAACTTTTTCTTATTTTTAAGTAATTAATATAAAATTTTCTGGTTACTGTTATACTTATAAGATTATGTTAATTACATTTCCATCATGTTAAGCAATTTTTTTTAATTAATTCTTTTGCAATTCTGCATTTTATTTATTTTTATATTAATAAACTAATTATATATACATATATGTTACTAACTTACCTATTATTTTAATATTAATGAAATGTGGTTTTGTGCATCATAATTCTCGGAATAGTCAATACTTGTAGAAAAAATGTCGGACGACTGATTAAAATCACAGATAAATCCCATAAATTGAGAATTCGAGCTTCCAAACGTTCGTTTTCAGTAGATCCGTTCCGTCCGCATGGTTTTCTGAAATTACATTTGAGCAAATTAAATAATCACATTTTCCTTACATGTCCAATGTCGTGACTGGTGATTTTATACTCGACGGTCAACAGAGTTCATTAGTGGTTGTATTGACTAGTAGTGTTGGGCGTGTGTATCGGACTTCGAACTACTTTATTTTTAAAAATACCCATAACGCAAACGTTGAACGGTCCACCTCCATTGGGGTTAACCTCATGCTGCGGTGAGTAGACGGTTGTATACGGCAGATGCCAGGGCATCTGTCGTTACCACTTACCGCTCGACGTGCGCCAGTACGCCGTAAAAAATGATTCCTTCCCTTTTGTCGTTCCAAATACGATGTGAACGCATCTCATGGAAGAAAAATTATGAGGACGTGTTTGTTATGCTTATTCGCTCTGCCAACCATAATGCTCCACTCACTATAGTCGTATACACACAATAATTATGTAAGCCGTATCGGGTCGATGACGGGCTTTACATTCCCAACTTTTTCTAGGGTTATTTTATTCGGTCCTTAATTTTAACGGTTTCGGAATGCCCTCATTTATTTCAGAAGAGGTACCCGACCAAAAATTTCCAAATTTTAAGTTCTGAACGGAGCTAAGAATTTATTGACTTTATAATGATGTGTGTTTTTTTTTAATTTTTACTATTTTTTAGTTTTTTTTTTTTAGGGTAGTTAAAATGCTTCGATTTTCTTAAGCAGCCTCTTTTTTGATACTTTGATAGGAAAGTGAATGTAGTTGTTACTGAAAGGGGTAAAATAAACAAAAGCGTCAGGAAAAAATTAAGATTCTTACGTAAAACCAGTTTTTGTCGATTTTGTTTTGCAGTGTACCTAACTCTAAAAAATATAACCTTAGATACCTGATTTTCATTGAACCAATTCATTGATTTTATACAACCAATTTGTATGCTCAATAAAATTCACAAAATATTTGCGATTTTTTTTTAGCTATAGTCATGGAAAATGTTAAGTTTAATAGTAAAATATTTTATGTCTTTATGGTATACCTACAGAGATATTGGAAAAATGCGGTTATGAAAAAAAAAAAATGTTTAAAATGCCGCCATGTATAAATGCAGTCGAACTTGGTTAACCCGAAATTTTAACTTTAATTTTGAGTTTATCACTCCGACTGTAATTTTAGATTGTGTATTGGGAAATTGTTAAGCAAGATCTATTATATTTCACGGAGAGCAATAGTGTTGCGTTTTTTGCAGATAAAAATGTAACCCCGAATAATAAAAAGTCATTATAAGCACACTGGTAGGGATGGCAAAAAATCGTAGACTATCGATATATTGTAATTTCGATACATTGCACACCGATACCACGATATATCTAACACTATTTTACCGATATATCGATATATATCGAAAAAAAATTTCTAATACTAAAAAAGGTTTATGGACTTGCTCTTTGGTTATAATTAAGCTTGACGCTGGCATTACGCGCCGACATCAAACGTTTCCGGCAAACAATTAGCCGTTCGTACGCACATGCACAAATCATTGCATTTGGTGAAATAAAATATTTTTTTCCAACGAGGAAACAAATTTTAATCAATTACCTAAAAGTCTCACAAGATTACGCATACTTAAAATAATCGGATTTCAATTATGTACAAATATTTGTACTTATCGTTGTATTTTTAGGTTATTGTGGAAGTCGATTTTAGAATAACTGATTAACATTCTTAAAGAAGATACTAAAGTCAATCAAAAAACTAAGGAACCAAAATAAGATTTAAGAACAATTTAAAAAAATATATCAACAGTTTATTTCCACAATAATCTAGAAAAAATGTCGATCAACTCAAATCTTTATACAAAATTGAAATCTGATAATTTTAAGTATGTGTTATCAGGCTTTTAGGTCTAAAAGGTGAAATAAATACACTGCTTCCAACCGCCTTATACACAATAAAATGTTAAAATTTACTTAGAAACATTATAGGCTCTTAGAATTGTTTTTTGTATATAGTGATTTTTGGATTTAAATTTAACACACGCATTAGTGACTCATCAGACACCCAATGCACAGCAGTACATTGCTTACTACCCGCTTTTTTTTATTCTTAAAAATATTAAATTATAAATACTCCAATTGTACAATTTGTGGGATTGTATCATTTTAACAGTTTTAAGTTCAAGGTTAAATTTAAGACTATAATTATGGGTGCATGTAAACTCGGCTACGAGCACTTTTTTTTAATGCTAATTCCGCCAAAAAAAAACAGATAAAATTGGGTTTTCATGTAAACACTCCTTCAGTGAAAAAAAAAATATAATATATTAAATTATTACCAAAAAAAATTTAATTTGTAGAATAATGATCATCCACATTAAATAATAGTTAAGTATGCATATATACCTAAAAATATACAAAACTTGAAAATAAAAATACTAATATTGTATGAACAAATCATATAAATTGTAATATGTATTGAATACAAATTCTTAAATAACTGTAATAATTATAAAATATGTACCTAGGTATGTTATGTAATAATATTTTGAATTATGAACTAAAATAATGTGATACAATTTGTGATATTTAAACTTCTAAGTGCAATATCAATCTATTATTATGACTATTTATAGACTTCTCTAACCCTATACATTTTTTTTTTAATTTTTGAGCTTATTTGGTTGAGATATGTAATTAAATTTTACATAAGCAAGGCTATAAGACTGACAGAGTTTCTATATACTCATTACAGATAAAAATATAAAACTGGCAGTTTGTATCAGACCCTTTCATTACCTTTTTATCTAACCAGTTTTCTGGTGGAGTTTGCAATCAACCATAATATTACACTTGTTTAGAGGGATTAAACATTAATGATAAATGTATATTTATTTATTTATTGTTTAAAATTACTAATTGAAAATTCTAATTTTATAGGTACTCACTCAAACTGGTAATCAACTTGTGAATTGTCTATAACACTTCCAGTTGAAATGTAAGTGACTTACAAATTCATAATATTTAAAACTATTTTTATTGATTTAAAATTCAATTTCTCAACTAATCATTAAGAAAATGGAATTAACTGTATCACTTTAAATTACTATTAATATAGCAAAATTGTACGCTCAGCTGGCAACAGACATTTTAAGTCGTTAATTATTTAATTGTTGTTAACTTAAATCAGAATATCTTAAAGGTGGACTATAATAATTTGCTTGTAATCCATTTTCTAGGCATTTGAATGTTGTTTTTTTTTTGTTTTTAATTGAAATTCATTTTTATATTGGTTTTTTTTAAATTTATCATCGTAAAATTATCCTAGCATCCTGAAGATTAAAAATGATATTTCAATACAATTATATTTTACACATATTAAGTATTACTTAATTTATATTTAATCCAATATTTTTGGTTTATCCATAAACTTTCTGTCATCAACTCTAGAAAATTTAATCTACTATATCATAGTAATATATTAATTACTTATGTTCAATACTATGGATTGTTTCGGATGTTACATTTACACACACAAATAGATAATATTTATCCTACAGGAATCAAAAATGATAGATTTTTTATTTTTGAAAAATATTTACAAAATGTAATATTATATTTCAAATAGTTTAATCATAAAACTGTCATTTTATTTTATCCCTCTTAAGCTCATGCTACATTCGCATGTGTTGCCTCCGTCTTACAAACTTAGTTAACTTTAGCAAACTTAATTTGTAATGATATTTATAATATACACTTCAAATATTTGCTTTAATAAATAGGTATATGTGACTTTGCCTATTATAATACATACATTTTCATAAATATTTAAATTTCTCAACATGGCTAGATACTTACACTAATTATTCAATGACTAGGACTCAATGAGTAATATAACTATTTATTTATTTAAGTATTGAAAGTAACGCCTGCTAGTGCAGAGAGTACAGTATATATTACTATTCACTAACTTTACCGTCGGTAAAATGATTTAATTGAATAGATCAGTGGTTCCCAACCCATGGGCTGCAGCCCACTTGTGGGCCTCAAGCAGCTTGGTACTGGGCCGTAAACTATATAAATATATAATACTTGATATTATATATATATTTTAAATAATATTATATTTTTAGTGTATACCTAATAATATTTCTGGTTATAATAATATTTATCAATATTATCTACACTCTGCAGTGTCAAATTATTAATTAACGCTAAATATAGGAATCAACTGAATGTTGAAAGTGATTTAATTGTAAAACCATCCAATTTTCATCCCGATATTGACTCTCATGAAGCACAAGTAATGTCAAAAATCACATTAAATTGTTTAGATTGTGATTAAGTTTAATAAAGTGTTTTTCATGATAGACAATTGATTTTTTAATTCTTTTTAGTTCTAACAACTGACGTTTGTATATACATATATTATATATATATATATTTATGCATTCGTATATAGGTGAGCTGTTTGTAGGCCTCAAAGATTTGTTTACAAAATTGGTGGTCCACACAGCTAAAAAGGTTGGGAACCGCTGGAATAGATTATTGCCACATGCATACTATTCGTTTTAGCATTTAAGATAATTTGTTGCTATTATTTTAGATGTCCTTCATAACTGATTAGAAAATAACCTAAATAATTATTGATATTTGTATTAATTATTATGTTTATAGTTTAATTTTATATAAATAGTTGTTTTTGTTTTCGTTTTTAGACTTACCTGGCCCTGTGACAATCAAGACTATACAATGAATCGATTCGAGCCGGAAATTGTCATTATCAACAGTATGGCCGACTTAAATGAGCTCATGGATGTAACTGAAGATACTGATAGGTATTATTTTGGAAGAAACGAAGAAGAAAATGAAAACCCTTTCCCATTAGTGAATGATGAAACAGCCGATTCAAATAATATTTTATCGGTTGACCACTCGAATATGGATTTGATGTTTTCATCAATAGTGGATGATATAAATAACATTTATAAAGACTATCCATCAAATTTTGAAAGCCTTATGGAAATAGATTATGTGGATTTTGATAATCTAGATGATAGTACTTCTCAAAATCAACCGAGTACTTCAATGGTAGTTAATGGAGAACAAAATTATAATATTGATGCATTTACGATTGTGGACTCTGATGATGAAAATAAACAGGAAGTAAGAACAGAAAATATCAATGATGGTGAACAAGATATCATAAATTTGATAAGTGACGATGAAGATGAGAATAGTGTGCAATTAAATGGAGAACAAAATGACCCAATTGTATTAAGTGATACGGAAGATGATGATACTAGTTTGGAGACCAGCCAGGCAGTGGAAACTATCCAATTAACAAGTGTCCATGAAATTCGATCTCCAAAAAACATAAAAAAGATTCTCCCGAGGTTCAAAACTAAAGTTCAAGAAACCTTACATTTTTTGTCCTCAAAAAGGGTAGACTTACTTGTACGTCATACCGATGGTTATAAGTTGCTTACGTCTGATCTTTTTAAATTAATTACTCCAAGAGCCTGGCTGACCGATGGAGTCATTATGCATTATTTTTTGTTGTTGGTTCAACATAGTAAGCGAGTATTATTGATGGATCCGGATATGTTAACCAGTTGTACTCGGAAAGGGTTTGTTCCAGAAAAAATCAATAAAACTGATGAATATGACAAAATTATCATTCCGATCAACCCCAATCGCAACCATTGGGCTTTTGTGGTGTTGGAAATTCGGCAAAGGAAGTTGATAGTTATAGATAGCATAGACCATACGGGCAGTAAAGAATTGGATTTAGTAAATGAATTTGTAGATCTAGCTTTTAAGGAGATTTTCCCCACAGGCTTCGAAAATGTAAAACTGTTCTCTCCTAAACAGTCAAATACTGATGACTGTGGTGTCTTTACATGTACAAATGCTCGATATTATTTGTTCAATAGGCACCCTGATTATACTCAGAAGGATATTCCCCTTTTACGGCATCGTATCGCTTGGGAAATTATTCAAAATACCTTAATACCCTTTTAAGTGGTCTTTAAATTATTATTAAATTTGAATTGTTTAAACATAATTATTATTATTAATTTTGTATGCGGCAAAAGAGGTACAAGCCAGGGTAATAATAGTTTTTCTTTTTATCTTTGTAAATATATACTCTTATGGATCTCAACTAATGTCGATCGAACTCATTATTAGTGATTTTATATTATAATAATAGATTTTGACAGTGACTGTGTTCATACTTAAATCTGAACAGTCGGTGAAAGACAACAGTGCCATTTTGTTTTTACAATATATTCAACGGGTCTTAGTCTTACGACTGTCACTGGCGTAACATATGAGACTGATCTATAACTTTAATATACAGATATAAGTGCCTTTTGTATTTTTTAGTCTTTAGATACTTATCATCACGACCTAACTAAACAATTATTTATAATATGTTTAGTGTGAACTAAAAGCCGTAAAACAAAAGTATGACATTCCATAATTGGTACCTATATAATTGGTCATAATACATTTATTTATTTATATGTAACTGTAAAATTCTTATTTAATCATATATTAGGTATTGATTGTATTAGGGGTACCTAATTACTTATTGTGTTTTTTTTTTATGTACAACATTTTTTTGTTCATACTGTAAGTTTGTTACCCATCAATATTATATTTCCCATTATTAATATTATTATTATGTTAATGAGTAATATGTAATGGAAGTCAAAAAAATCAAAAAAAAATTGTAATTAATATGAAAAATAATAACATTAAGTAGGTACCTACTTAATAACTTAAAACATGTTTATAATTAAAAGTTAATTTTATCATTTATAATATGTTATTAATATTATTATCATTTTATTGCTGTTAAAAGTGATTGTATATATTTTATGTTGCACTATCTACATTATTAATGTGTATTTTTCATTTTGAAAAATTAAAGAAAGTCATGCTTGAAAGAGCAACTAAAAATTGTTGTTAATTATTTCTGAAGAAATGAAAAATATGTTAGTACAGAAAATGTTTTTCTTTTAAGTAACTATATAGAGGTGGCATGGCTCACAATTTGATTTTGGCAGAATTGAAGGACTACATAAAGCTTAACTGTACAATTTATGTACTCAGTATTTTACATTTTTTAACTTGTATGGATTTTAACCAAAAAATCTTATATTAATCATAACGTTACAAAACTTAAAATGTATTTATTCTTTCAAAATTGATATTATGTTAGGAAATAAAGTTGTGGTGTTTACTTGATGATAGGTAAATGTAATCTTGTCTCTGACCCTCCACACAGTGGATCAAGTTTAAAATCGTGCTCAGTGAACATTCAATTTTTCTGATTATTTTGACACATCTAAATAGAATTTAGGATGAGTTTATGAATTATAACTGCTTATAAGTACATTACCTAAGTTAAGAAACGTGAAGTAGGTAGTCGACCAACATTTTGTGGGGTATCCCCATACCACTTCACTCTACTCATCCAAAATTTAAATATTTATAACTCATAAACCAATCCTCCTAAATTAGATTTATATGTATCGAAATACTTAGAAAAATATTTTGCTTTGTATTATGAAATTATTACTGTATGTTGTCATTCAAAAAAGTAAAAAACCTAAATAATAATCAAAAAAATTGTTTTTAACAACTACAAACCATGTGGTAAATTTTTTTTTCAGAAACAATTTATACTTTTTCAAAACGATAAGTGTTCAATGAAAAAAGAATTACCCAGTATAATTGGGAAAAAAAAAATGAATTTATGCTAAGTTTTTTTTTTAATTTCCAATTACAATCACTTGTGAGTAGTCTTGCATTATATTTTAATGTTTTTTGGCAGATATTAATATGTTTTTTAAATAATAAAAATTAAAAATCTCATAATATTAAAGAGCTCAACATGAGTCAACATTTTATAGTGTTTAGAAAATGCTAACATAAATATTCATTGAACATTTCAACTTTGAATGGTAATTTTTTTGTTTTATTTGTTACACTAAAAACCAAAATCGCTTTTGTTTCAAAATTGAAAATTCCCAAATGTTTTTAGTTATTTTTTTGTTATAATCCTGCATTTTTTAACACTACTAAGAATTTAGATCTGATTACAGCTAGATTCACTTTCCCACAAAAAAAGATACCGAAAGTTTGAATCAAAGCATTATTTCAAACTACTTTTTATTGAAATGGATAAAAAAAAAACTCATCATTGTCAAATCAATACATTCATCACTTTGGTCAGAATCTAAAATAGTAAAATGTGATCTCAATATTTATTTTTAAATAAAATATTATACGTACCTATAATATAATAATATATAAGTATAATATATATTATTAATTTATAATAGGTCATATTATGTTATTAGAAATTGAAACCTATTAGTACCTAATTCTGTTGGATCAGTTACTGTTTGCTGAAAATATTACATTTATTATACTAAGTTCCCAACTATTAACTGTTTTTATAGTGCCTATATTGTATTTAAACATCATGAGTAAGGGTTATCGTTGAACTGTGGAATATGTCTCATTATTCATATTTATGTCTTAATGTATTTTTCCTTAATCAAATTTTCATATCGTTCTATCGTAGTTAGTTTTTTTTACAACTATTAAATATTTAAATATTATATAATTTGTCATTACGTCAGACGATCTAATTGTATATTGTTTTTGAACATAGACCTATAAAAAATTAAATAGTGGGGTCCAAGGGTATGGCATAGTGCCATTTAATTAAAGATCTTCCCACCCTAAAGAAATCAAGGCTCGTCACTGTCGTACCTAACCCTTAAAAGTTATAGTTATAGGGTTTGAAAGTTGTAGAAGTTGCTTAGGTATTATTCCATATGCTCTCGATTTATAACAGACCAAGATAGAAATCCAAGCTATGGGTACAATGGTAAGTTAAAAAATATTTCATACATTTTTGGTGAAAAGTTCATATTTCTTAATTTCATACGCATATTAAGCATATCTACAAAAATTGATCTTTTTCTTTCTTCAGGAGATTGAACTGATTGAAGCACACATATTTTTCTCGTAGACAATAAATTACATATACCTTGAAATTGGTTTTAATTTTTAATATATGAATTAATTCTTTGACAAAATAAATAGGCTTTTCAGGAAGTCGATTTTCAACTTTAATTTTAAACGACCTTAAAACTAAAATACCTATATAGTAGCATTAAATTTGTATTTATTTTGTAGTCTAAACCAGGGGTCGGGAACCTGTGGCTCTTTAATATACAGCCTGCGGCTCTTTGGAAAATTCCCACTAATATTAAGTAGATACGTTTATTTTGTGTTATTGTATTAGCATAATATGATATTTATATAAACAATAATAATAATAATGAATTAAAAATTTAATGTTTTTCTATATTTTCTAAGTTTAAGACGTATCATTATGTTTTTAATGCCTACCAATTTTTCAATTAAATAATAATAGTATCTTTATTCTATTATTCTATAATATATTGCCTATACTAACAACTACAACTAAAAAAAAGTTGTGCAAACCTGTGCGGCTCCCTGGACATCATGGTTATGTAATTTTCGAAAAAGTGGCTCTTTCTTACGAAAATGTTCCCGACCCCTGGTCCAAACGCTTAAGAGGACGCCACACCCGCATGTGTTATCTCCGTCTTACAAACGAGTAACATACCAAATTTACGTTCAGCAGTTCAAGTTTTATGCCATTAGCTTAAAAATTAGATTGAATCGACCTATTATGAAACTTGATGTTAAGAACTTTATCTGTGTTTTGTTGGAAGTTTTTTTTACAATGATTCAGTTTATAAGTAAGTTATGAGCATTTTTAATTTACATTTATTATACAAGCATACCTCGCTTAAAAACTGAAGTATCGTAAAAAAACTCCCAAAAAAACGCAGATAAAGTTCTTACTTTTTACTATCAAGTTTTCATAATAGGTCGATTTACTCTAATTTTTAAGCTAACGGTATAAAACGTGAACTGCTGATCGTAAATTTGGCATGTTACGCGTTTGTAAGACGGAGACAACACATGCGCGTGTAGCATCCTCTTAATACTTATAAATACAACATTTTTTTTAAAAATTACAATCGAAATTTTTTGAGATGTATTGACATGTGCGTGTGCTTGTGAGAGTTGCTATCTGCGGCTGTTGCACGACGCGGCGTGACAACAATTCTCGGAAACACACCAATAATCATTTGCTACTCACACATAGACATATAGGCACATAGCCCATATGTACTTGTCATATGAATTTCCTAAATATTACTTCTTCAAACTTGATACGATTCTACTACTGCTAATATCTATCTCGCTAATATCCCGATTACGAACATATTTTTTAACTATTATTTTCAGTTCAATACAATTTCAAAATTTCATACAGTTTACAACCATATTTTGAATATTATAAATTTATTTTTCCATAGGTATTTTACATTTCTTTTAGTGCAAATTGTGCAAATTAATAATAACTTAAAATATGGTTTATTTTTCGTTTTGAATTCTTATGAATATTTACTAAACTTTTTTTGCATATTCGACATTTTTTTATGAATAATTTTTTCGTGTATATTAACATGTACATCTTTCCTTTTTTTGGCTCCTACATGGCTACATCTTTATTACAGCAATTTTATTACATACACCAATTTGCCTCACTCTATTTGTATTATATAAAAGTTTTTAATGTTGATGCTATTGAGTTTTGGAGTACAAAATTTGAAATATTGACTGTTCATTACCTATACATGGAATATCCATATATGATGATATTTATAATTTAATATTTATATGTGAATAATATTCTCGTAAAATAAATAAAAATATGTATGTATTTATAGCATATAACTACTGTACTTATCCAAAATGTACGTTTCCTGTTTTCACATATTAGGCATTGGCAAAATGTTATTTGAAATTTTTAGGCCAGTCGTTTTATTGGCTATCGCGTTAGTATCTTTCTTTAAATACAACAATTATAAACTAACAAAATATACATCTATAGCAAAGAAATGAAGTACAGTACACTCGAAGTACAACGATTTTATTTTTTTGTTGAACTGCTGCCGAGTGTCGACGTAGACCTCAAATGTACGTGAGTACCTAAAACAGTACAACATTGTGATAATTTATTTTTCTAGCGTTTGAGCAATCGTACGAAATATAATATGCAGGGCTTTGCACTCAAAACATTTATTTGGGTTTCGGGTTTCAGGTGCTAGATGTATTTGGGTGTTCAAACACCAAAATAAAAAAATTAGACAAACGTTTGGGTTTTAATAACCGATATTATAAAGGTTAATATTACTTAATACGGGTGTTGAATAATCTAGAAAAAATACAATTATTTAAATTTTATTGAAGGATAAGCCCCCCCCACAAAAAATTTAAAAATCTGATTTGTAGTTGTTTATAACAAAATATAAATTCCAAACTCGAATGCTACAAAATGATACATCACATGGAGATTATAAAAAACAAAAATATTTGGGTTTTGGGTTAACCAGAATATTGTATTCGGGCTTTGGTTAATTCGAGTGTTTAGAAAACAGAAACACAGAATCATTAAGGTTAAATGGGTTTCGGGCGTTTGATTTTTTAAGGGTTTTTAAGGTGTTAGGGGTTCCGGTTAATTCGGGTGCAAAGCCCTGATAATATGTTAGAAAAATAGTTAAACTGATTAATTTAAGCTAAATTAAAGAGTATTTTATGCGTAAGAATATTATTTTATGCAGTTTCACTACATATAAATCCGGACCTTGGATTAAGGTTACCCTACGTCCCGTATTTATTTATTTATTTTAATAAGATACAGGCCAGGGCCCAACAAGTCACAACCTACAACTTTGAGCGGATAGGCCCATCGAGAAATCGGAATTTTCCCGGTAGGCCTAAATCAATATTATACTCAGAGGCCCCAATCACAAAAAACTAAAAAAAAAAATAATAGTAATAATATAAAAGTAAATTTGTATAATACCAGGCGGCTGTACAGTATTAATGCGTATTTGTAATATCTGTATACTCCATTAGGGCCTAGAGGCCTCTGTAAAAACTCGTCGATACCCGTAAAAATACATATCTATTTTGTTGTATGTACTATTGCCTATCGTGCTAAATCTAAATAATATATAAAATGTAAATATAATTAAATACAATCGATGTTCATGACGTTCATGTTCTAATAACAAAAATAAAGAACCATATTAATAATCATTAATTTTTCGATTAGTGATAGCTAAGTATGACGTATCTACTATCTACGTTTATATACATATCTTTGTATCGTAATAAATTCGATTTGTTCTATTTTTAAACAATGCGTATTGTACTTACTTTATAGTTTATACTGTTTATTAATGTGAATGTCTAATATTACATTTTCTCTTACACATAAATAAGGGAAAATGGTTTCCAAAAATGTCTTTGTGAAGCAAAAAAAATGGCCAAGTCCTTAAATATTTCATCGGATCTTACTTACAAACGTAAACTTATAATTAAAAGTACCACTGTTGAATCAAAAGTCAGAGAAAATAAAAAATATGAATCTACAGAAAGTAAATTTAGAGCTCAATGTTTTGAAGCATTAGACCTGTTCACATGAACGCGTATCATACGAGATGTATCGTAAGCGCTCGTTTTTAGTGTACATTGATTAAGTTCATAAGCGTTATAAAGGCGAGGAAAACTCTGACGACGGCTCGCATGAACTTAACCAATGTAAATAAAAACTCGCGCGTACCATACATCGCGTATGATATGTGTCCAACATTTTATAAATTTTTAACTACAAAATTATTTTCAATTTTCAATTTGATAAATATTGTTAAAACTTGAATTTTAAATCCTTATAAAAAAAAATCGTGCCTATGCATTTTTAATATTTTCCAACTGTTATTTGTAACAATTTATCAAGAGTATTGTATCAAATTTTCATGTTTTTTGCCCAACCAGAAATGTTATAGACATGTATTAAAAAAAAAAATAAAAACTGAAAATTTCCATCATTAGCTTAAAACTAGTCAACATTTTTGAAAATTTTATCAAGTATATAAATTGATGAAATAAACATATAGTGTAAGTTTCAAGTGTCTACAGTGATAAGTTTTTGAATTACAACAAAATAAGGAAATCACTACATGAAAAATCTAGTGCATATCCAATGTTGTAAAAATGTCAACTTCATAAGCTCATTAAAATTTTATATTTATTTGACTTTCCGGTAGACACTTTTTTATTGATGTAGACAAATTTATGAGGAATCTTGTATTAAGGTTTTAAATCTTAGATATAAAAGGAAAAAATTTTATGAATTTCTCACTAAAAAAAATTGCTACTTTTCTTGATTTTTACAAATTTTGTCAACATTTTAAATTTACATAAATAAAAAATTATTATGGATTACACTTAACTTTTCTTTTAATTTCCATTAACAACCTTACGAGAAATCTTGTATTACATTCACAAATTTTTTAGACGGAGCGAAACATTTTTTATCGACTGTAGTTTAAAAAAAAAAATAATATGCGAAAATGGCATATATGCCTATAAACCGTTCAACACAAGTCAAAATATTTTGAAAATTGTATGGTGTGTAGAAAATACTCACACAAATATTCAGGGAAAATTGCATGTATGCTACGGTCATTTTTGTTAGAATTACACTAAAAACCAAAATCGGTTTTTTCGAAAACTTGTTTTGCATAAAAATTCTCGATTTTCATTATATTTTTATCTCACTTTTGAAAACTATTGAGAACTTTAAATTCGGACCTCCCAAACGCGCCAACTAGATTCACTTTCCTACCAGAAAAGTTGCTGTTGAAGAAAATCGAAGCAATTTTACTTGCCCAAACCCGTGATGACAGGCAACAAAAATAAATAAATATATTATAAATATGAAAACACACATCATTGTAAAATCAAAGCATTCATCGCTCCGCTCACAATCTAAAATAGGGCATGTGAGCATGTTTAAAAAATCACCCTGTATATTAAAAAAAATTTGTTTGTCTTGTGCAATATAACTTAATGTAAAAAATATATTATTTGGACCCGCTCGAAAATAACTTAGGACTAGTGTTAGTTTACCTAGTGGCTAGTAGGTACATGAAAGACGGTCACATGCGGTAGGACGGAAATTGGAATGCAAACTATTAAATCATAATTTCTTGACAGCTGTGCTGCTCAAAAATATAGTATAAAACAAATAGTAGTACAAAAGAACATTAACAGTGTGTGTAAAACTTACCAGGTATCGGTGAAGACTGATTTAAATGTAATGTATAGACATTTGAAGCCATGTTCGTTGTGAGGATCAGACCAAATCAAAGGCTGTGGTAAGTGTAACCGCGGACGGATACCCGCGTGCATTTTGCGTACGTGGGCCTGAGAGAACGCGAATACGTTGGTTACATAACGGAACGTACGAGTTTGTGGTGTGAGCGTGAGAAACATTTGTGATTTGTGGATACCGGAAACAAATGGCACTGTGGGCGGATAGTCGGCACAATTGTCGTCTGAGACTTTGGGCAGACTTTGGGCCGTGTTGATTAGTAAGCGAACAGGTGAAAAACAATCCAACGATGTATATAATATCATTTGCACATATTATTCAGTAACCGGGTGCGTGTCAGAACGGGAAAAAAATCGGTACGGATGTCGTTCACTGCAAGTGTGGCTGAAGTTATAAGCTATAGCAACGTATATTAAAGGCACGGAGCAATAATAATTAACAATGGCCCGACAAAGGCACGGAATCACACCCGGATATTAACGGCGACGATACAACGGAAGCGGCAAGATTACAGGTTCGACGGATGAAAAACGAGTGGCGGTTATTAACGAGTAACGACTATACAGGGTACAGCAATCGGTTCCAAAATGCCGCGAGGTAGGCGAAATTGCGCGACAGTTAACGGACGACGATCGACGACGGACTACGCAACGGGCGCCACAGCTACGCGTCGAAAACCATTTCCGAAAATCAACGATCCCCACCACTCAGGAAATCAGGAGCACAAGGCGCTAACCAAAACCTCGTAGCTTAATCATTTCCCCCTCCAAGTAACCCACAAAAATGGCTGATACCGATTGGCACCACCCAATTTTATTATTATATTCTATAGATACATATTGTTATCATGCCTATGACCTCGATGACAAGAGTCTAGAATGATCTAGGCATCTAGCCTATAATAATTATCCATGGAAAACTCAAATATTTGACGTAACGTCCTAGATTCGGGTCTATTATAGTTTGTGTGGTTAGAATATTTTAAAATAGAATATATTATTGCCTTTATAACAACACCATCAAGATTTTCAAGAAGAAAAATTCGATACGTATCGATACGGAATAGTTACGTACCACCTCGTATTGGAGTCCGAGTCCGATACGGGTCGGTACATATCGCTTGTATATTGCACGTGTAACATCTTGAACGCTCAAAATTGACCCGATACGTACCGATACACTCCAAATTCTTTCTTGAAAATCTTGCATGTTCCGATGTTTGAAGCACATAATATAAGCAACATAGCGACGAATCCCTACTTTAAAAGTGATACCTCGGCAAGTATAAGTTGCTCGTCACAATTTTATTTTAATAACTTATTACTCCATGAAAATTCATGAGTGATAAATGCAAGGCTGGGCAAGTTAACGATTTTTTTTAACTCGTTAAGTTAAGTTAATATAAGAAAAAATAAGTTAAGTTAAAAGTCAACTATAGTATTTTTTATAACTTTGTTAAGTTAAAAATTAATGAATAAAAAAAATTAATTAAGTTAAAATTAACTTGATAATAAATTTAATTATATTCAAATCTGTAAAAAAAAATAGGTTACCTACAGAATGAATGACAAATTTGAAAGTTGTGTCAAGTTTAGATTTCTGCACCCATGCGTGGCCAACCATGTAGTATGCTTAGCAATAATTACTGAGGATTTGGGGTGGGCATTTAAAATAGTATAAATAGTAAATACACAAATTATACAAGTTCTACTATTAGCTTTAATATTTTGAATCGGAGCGTTAACAAAGATTTTCAGAAATAATTTGTTCCCCATGAGTTATTTTAATAATTTCAGGTAATAAGTAATAGGTAACGTATTTCTCGGGATGTGTGGAGTATGAGTTAAAACGTCACTAGGTTGATTTATGCCTTGGTGTACAAGAAAACTAATTAAGTACACGAACGTCGCGACCCGCATACAATTATATGACTAAATATAATATAAATTTAGATTAATTATTTATTAATTATAAATTTGTCCATTTATTTTATATTATATATTTATATCCAATATTTCTTAAGGCATCAAGTTATAAATCAATGGGTTGTATCAAATTTAAAATATAACTTAATTTTAAGAAATCTGTGTATAAAAAAAGTCCGGCTCGGCCCGACTCTTAACTTTTGTCCTAATAGATGTCCAGCCCGGCCCATCTTGCATTTTATGGAATCCGGGCCGGTCTGGGTAAGCCCGGCCCGTGCAGGTCTTTATTATGTACTAACCCATACTATAATATGATCTACAAGGGCCCGATCCTTCAAATACCGGAATATGGCTCCACCCATTATAGTGTAATGCGAATCTAGGGCGTTTTGTCTTCGTCAAATATTCGAGTTTTCCAAACCTACTAAATCTGTAGTTTTTGGAGACTCATCATAATATTGAATATTCACTTCACTAAATATCTTAGTCCGTAGATCGGGACAATAGCGAATACCAAGCTATATTTATAACAATTAACAACGATAACGCACTCAATAAACGCCGAATTGGCAAACTTCAAAAGGCTACAAGCTTTAAAGTGTATAAACTGGCCCTTCGACAAGACCCGACCATCAAATTCTGTTTGCATCATAGACGCACCTCATTTAAGAGGACGTCGTACTCGCATGTGTCGTATCCATCTTATCCTACACAGCAAAATTATATTTTAAAAATATTGTGGAAATATTTATAGGAAATTATGAAATATTTTTTAATTATCATCAAAATATTTAACAATATTGCAAAAATATTTTTTGGCAGGAGTTCAAACATTACCACAATATTTTATGCTTATATTTTCAAAATATTTTGTTTCAAATATTATTACAATATTGTGTTTGCGATATTTCTGAAATATAATTTGGCAATTATTGTCAATATATTTTGCTTCAAATATCAGCACTATTTTATTTTTGCAATATTTCTGAAATGAAATATTGCATTTACCCAATGTCAAAATATTTTATTTCAAATATCATTACAATACTGTGTTTGCGATATTTCTACTACTAGTTTACATGCGTACTACATTGGAAATGTTCGTTCACTATAGTTTCAATAGTGTGCTGTTAGTTTTGATATTAGAGTAATTTGGCATACCATCAAACTTTTTGGTAAAAACATTATCTGTGTTCTCTCATTGGTTTTTTACGACATTTTTAAGTAAGTTACGAGTTAAACAATAGCATATAATAATACAGACAATTAAAATATAGTAAAAAACCAACGAGAGAACACTGATGATGTTTTTACTTAAAAGTTTGAAAATAGGTTAATTTACTCTATAATATCAAAACTAACAGCGCACTATTGAAACTAGTGAACGAAAATTTGCCAGACATGTGTAACACGCATACAACACACGCGGGTGCGACCCCTTCTTAAGTACGAAAGAATCAAAAAAAAAAAAATGGGAAATTTTGTGGTATACTATATTTTTTTTAATATTTCGAATGTTTGAACTACTATTGAATATTTCGATAGTGCCCATCACTACTTTGCCACACAATACATCACCCGATATTGTTAACGTAGTTTCCTAGTTTACATTTATACTTGCTTAAAGCTTTTATTACTTATACATTTTAATTAATTTATAAGTTATGACACATAGATACCAATTAATAGTATAAACGATCCTTTTTTATGCGAAACATCGAAAGCGGGGGGTCACAAGTGAAAACTGCTGGGGTGCCCACCCAAAAAAAAAAAAATATATTCAGCCAAAACTTTTTAAGAAATCAATAATAATGATTAAAATATACAATTTGTTTTCAACAATGTTAAACAATAATAAATAAATATATTGCAATAATAACAATTAGTAATTATGCGTCGAACACCCGTCGCCCATACAGATTTTTTTAATCAGAATTTTCTAATCTTCTAATCATTTTTGCAACGATTATGGCACAATTATTATAATACATAGATGATAGATATAATACATAGGTATATTATATCACATTGGTAATAGTCAATATAGATAAACGTGGTTGAATCATGATTGAAGTCCCTGACTCTGGAAGACGTTCCTATGTATAATTTAAAAATCCCAGTAGTTTTCAAAAGCTCCGAGAAAAACAAAAAAAAGTTAAGGAAAAACGGGAATATTTACGTAAAATCAGATTTTGACTAAAATGTAATATGAAATTGATTAGAAGTTGTTGTAAGTGAAAATTTTAAAAAAAGTTGAGAGTAATAAATAAAAAAATTTTAAGAGCGTGGTCTTGACACGAGTGTTCGTCCCGTGTAGCTGTATTCCGTCGAAATATATTATTTTATCAATATGTATGTATTATCCGATATCTGCTGAGTAATTTTCTCTATATTATTAGAATATCCGATTTTGTATATTGTGTCCCCATCACATAATGTTGTAACATATCTCACACGTTATTGCATTAAATTATGCCTAATATAGTTGTTATAACTCGTGGGATATTTACTCCCGACACCTGGAATGTCGATATTACAAATGCCTAATTTCTTCAGTCTACAAGTCTTTACATTCTGCTTAACATTACACTTCCAGTCCCGAGAACCGAGGTTAATAGTTGTGTATGAATGTAATGTAAATTAAGAATGCGGGATACCATTATCTACATCGTGTTTTAAAGAAACAAGTCTATCAGTTAACGTTAAAACCATTTTTATGTCTACATTTCATCAAATACAATTGAGTTAACCATTATTCATATATAAATATAAAACTTAAACAAACTTAATAAAGATCATAAATAAAAATATATAAATCTAAATTTCAATTGTATACATAATAATAATAATTTTAAAAAACAAACATGGACTCCAATATATATAAATATGCATATGACATACAAAAATTTAATAACATAGGCTGTAAAATACCCAACTAAATATTATAATAAATGTTAAATTGTAGTGTAATGAAAAATATTAAATACCATTATTTAAGTCTTCACATTTTATATAATGCCAGAGATTCAAGATTTTTAATGTTATAGTAATTCTTTTTCCTTTGTTAGTATATGTCATAATGTATAAAAGTTCTTTCCAAGAAGAAGTTAATACATTTGCATTAAATTAGTTTATGATCTAAAAATATGTTTGTTATTTAATAACAAAAAATCCATTGAAAATAAAGATTGAACACATATTAAACATAAGACCAGAAATATCAATCCATAAAATAAATTAGTTTTTTAAAATATTGAGAATCTGATTTAAGCTCTGAGTTAATGCATCTCTGAATTTATCTCCATCAGAATGTTCTTTGTAGTTGGTAATAATAGCACCTGAGTAGTCTTCAAGAATTGTGTATCTAAAATTGAAGAGACATTTATTAAAATGTCGGTAGTTTTTTTTTTTTCAACTAATAATTGCAAGGAAGTAGATTTCTATTGCTCATACTACTATTTTAAACAAATTAAACTATGTGAAATGAAGTACAAACAATATGTAACATATTTAAAAAGAAGTTGCAAGTGGTGAAACTAGCCACTTCAATATTGTAAATTTGAAAAAGTTGAAGTTGAAATCGAAAATCAAAAATACAATGTTTGTATTTTATTAGAAAAAAATCATCATGAATAATCATAATTTATTGATACACTCACCCAATACCATAACCATCTTTTACAACAGGACCAAATCCTCCTAACCATACATAATCTGAAGTTAGACTAGAAGTAGATAGAATATTATGATTAATCTGACCATAAGCGGGATCAGTGTACAAGTCTGGAATCTTTAAATTGCACTGTTCAGCTAATAATCGTAGAGCAAATAAATGACGATCAAAACCTTGTCCTGAAAACAAAAAGGTATAAAACAATGATGATAAACAATTCTATTTTTATAAATAAAATATTACCCATGGCAGCTTCTTTTACAAGTTTACTGTGCTCAACCGAACATTGTTTTATCATGTTCACCAAGTCATTGTCAGAGGGCTTATTATTACTTGAAACAGCATGGCAAAAATCCTAAAAAATAT